GGGCTGGGCCGACTGCATATATTTGGACTGCCAGAAAGTCTTTGACACAGTACCACATAAGAGACTAGTGCACAAACTGGAGATGCAGGCAGGAGTAAAAGGGAAGGTACTCCACTGGATGAGGGAGTACCTAAGCAACAATACACAGTGAGTCACTGTAAGGAGTCAGGTCTTGGAGTGGCGAGGAGTCACCAGTGGAGTCCCACAGGATCAGTCCTTGGACCTATACTGTTTCTGATATACGTAAATGATCTCCCAGAAGGAATTGACTCGTTCCTCTCAATGTTTGCTGATGATGCGAAATTATGAGGAGGATCAAGACAGAGGAAGATAGTACGAGGCTACAAGATGACCTAGACAAACTGAAGGAATAGTCCGACAATTGGCTTCTAAAGTTCAACCCAAGTATATGTATGGTAATTAAACTAGGAGGATATAGGAGGCCAGACACTGGATACCGAATGGGAGATGAAGTCCTTCACGAAACGGACAGAGAGAAAGATCTAGGAGTTGATATCACACCAAACTTGTCTCCTGAAGCTCACATCAAAAGAATAACATCAGCGGCCTATGCGAGGCTGGCTAACATCAGAACTGCTTTCAGAAACCTGCGTTAGGAATCCTTCAGAATCTTGTATACCACATATGTAAGGCCAATCATGGAGTATGCAGCCCCAGGATGGAGCCCGTACCTAGTCAAGCACAAGACGATGCTGGAAAAAGTTCAGGGGTATGCCTCTAGGCTAGTCCCAGAACTAAGAGGCATGATTTATGAGGAAAGGCTGCGTGAACTGCACCTCACGTCGCTGGAAGACAGAAGAGCTCGTGGAGACATGATCACCACATACAAAATTCTCAGGGGAATTGACAGGGTAGACAAGGAAGGATTACTTAACACGGGTGGTACACGCACAAGGGGACACAGGTGGAAGCTGAATACCCAAACGAGCCACAGAGACATTAGAAAGAACTTTTTCAGTGTCAGAGTAGTTAGTAAATGGAATGCATTAGGAGTTGATGTAGTGGAGGCTGACTCCATACACAGTTTCAAATGCAGATATGATAGAGCCCAGTATAAGCTCAGGAATCTGTACATCAGTTGATTGACGGTTGAGAGGCGGGACCAAAGAGGCAGAGCTCAACCCCCGCAAACACAACTAGATGAGTACAGGCCAAGAAAGCAACATAACCACGTTACTTTTAAATACCCTTCCCCCCCCCCGCACTCCCCTCCTCCCCCCCCCCTCCCCCAGCATAGCTCCTCTTCCCTTTCATAAAATGTAATAATATGGGCTACCCGGCGGTGCCCGACTGGCCTCCCCCCTACTCTCATCCTCCCCACCCTTCCCTCTCCCTACAACGGACTCTCCCTGCTCCCCTCCCCCCTTCTCTCCCCCTTGCTCACTTCCTCTCATCCTCCCACCCACATCATTCTCTTTCCCTTCGTCCTCTCTTCCCCCCCTTTCCCCCTTCCCCACATCTCCCCCACTCCCGATTAATCCCTCTAACCTTTCATAATAAATAAAGTTAAGGACAAATTAATTTTTCCATAATAAACTGCAGAAAGTCTTTTGAAGTTCCCTCACATGCCTGTGAACCAAGACATCTCTTTCTCACTTCACCTCATTCCTGCCTGTATATCCACCACGACTGACTTGTAATATCTTAGGGGCTATTCATGCCCGTGCCACCTCTTGGGTGGCTTAATCTTCATTCAGTGGACTTGTAATATCTATCCTCCTGACGATGTGTTATTAAATACGAAAGTACTTTAGGATTTACCTAGGGCCTCGTAGCCTCGTAGCCTGGTGGATAGCGCGCAGGACTCGTAATTCTGTGGCGCGGGTTCGATTCCCGCACGAGGCAGAAACAAATGGGCAAAGTTTCTTTCACCCTAAGTGCCCCTGTTACCTAGCAGTAAATAGGTACCTGGGTGTTAGTCAGCTGTCACGGGCTGCTTCCTGGGGGTGGAGGCCTGGTCAAGGACCGGGCCGCGGGGACACTAAAGCCCCGAAATCAACTCAAGATAACCTCAAGATAACCTGTCTTAATTCCTCCATCCACCCAGCTATCTGGGTGGATGGACGTTCGTTCTATTCATCCATCTACCGGTCCATCTCTCCAACTATTCATCCCTCTATCCATATGTCCATCTATCATACATTCATCTACCTTTCCATATATCTATATCTATTCATATCTTTTCATCTATCTATTCATCTATTCAATTATCTATCCATCTGTATATCAATCCATCCATGGCTATCCATTTATCTATCAGTCTATCCATCCACCTACTCATATTTTTATCCATCTATCCCTCTCTATATATCCATCTTTGTTTCCGTCTATCCAATTATCTGTCCGTCTTTCCATATATCGATCCATCCGTCAAACTATCCATCCACCTACTCATCTTGTATACTTTATCTTTCCATTCATCCCTCCATCTATCACCCAATCTGTCCATCCGTCAATACATCCATCAACTCGTATATCATTATCTCTATCCATCCATCTGTCCATCAATCCATCAATATATCCACTCATCTATCTGTCCATTATGGTCTTCTGTTGCTGTCTCTGTCCCTGTGTGAATCTCTCTCTCTTATGAGAAATATAATTGTCTAATGTGTGGGTAACATCCACGGAGAGGAGCTTCAGGGTGTATATCTATAACTAGAGAATAGTTAATCTCGTCTGATAAAGAGGTGAGTCTTGAGAAAGCTTTGAAGCTGAGAAAGATTTGTTTGTTTTATGCGAGTACGAGCTAATTATTGATAGCAGGATATTTATGTTATTTTTCCCAAGATTTGTGAATAATTGTGCATATTACTATATGAAAACAAATTGATTTGACAAGTTTGTTTTGGAAATATTTAGCTGTGTAGCTGGCTGGCAGTGCCAAAAAATTGGTCTTGGGGGTCGGAATGTGGCCCTGGCACGCTGTTCCCTTTTGAATTATGGCGACCCTGACGAGCCTATGTTTATCCCGTACCCCAGACCAGTCCCTCTGCCAATTTGGGTGAGTCTAGCCCCACCCTTATGACCTTTGGGGAGACAGACAGAAATTTTCTCTTAGAAGTGGTATCTCACTCGAGTGTCTCCCCAGCTCTACAGAAGATACAGTATACTTTGGGTACCCGCTCGAGGCTACAGTATACCTCGGGTACCCGCTCGAGGCTACAGTATACCTCGGGTACCCGCTCGAGGCTACAGTATACCTCGGGTACCCGCTCAAGGCTACAGTATACCTCGGGTACCCGCTCAAGGCTACAGTATACCTCGGGTACCCGCTCGAGGCTACAGTATACTTCGGGTACCCGCGCCAGGTTACAATATACCTCGGGTACCCGCTAAAGGCTACAGTATACCTCGGGAACCCACTCCAGGTTACAGTATACCTCGGGTACCCGCTCAAGGCTACAGTATACCTCGGGAACCCACTCTAGGTTACAGTATACCTCGGGTACCCGCTCAAGGCTACAGTATACCACGGGAACCCACTCCAGGTTACAGTATACCTCGGGTACCCGCTCAAGGCTACAGTATTCCTCGGGAACTCACTCCAGGTTACAGTATACCTCGGGTACCCGCTCAAGGCTACAGTATACCTCGGGAACCCACTCCAGGTTACAGTATACCTCGGGTACCCGCTCAAGGCTACAGTATACCTCGGGAACTCACTCCAGGTTACAGTATACCTCGGGTACCCGCTCAAGGCTACAGTATACCTCGGGAACCCACTCCAGGTTACAGTATACCTCGGGTACCCGCTCAAGGCTACAGTATACCTCGGGAACCCACTCCAGGTTACAGTATACCTCGGGTACCCGCTCAAGGCTACAGTATACCTCGGGAACCCACTCCAGGTTACAGTATACCTCGGGTACCCGCTCGAGGAGTGCGCTCCCACCCGTGACAAATGAACTGTTATTCACAAGTACAGTTAAAAGAATGAGATTTATGAGTCTGTCTCTGTTTTTAAAGGAGCGTCCGATCCCCCACAGCGCCAGTTCGCGCAACTCATAAATCTTCAAGTCGGATTTATCTACGCAGTCGTTCGTGTAAAATTTATGTGCGATGTGGCCCAGATGAGAGAGGAAGACTTTTAAATAAAAAGTCTTTTGTTTTATCCCCGCAGGTCACTTGAGACGGATGTAGTGTGATTATGTTCACACAGGATACTTACGACGGATGTAGTGGGATTATGTTCACACAGGATACTTACGACGGATGTAGTGTGATTATGTTCACACAGGATACTTACGACGGATGTAGTGGGATTATGTTCACACAGGATACTTACGACGGATGTAGTGGGATTATGTTCACACAGGATACTTACGACGGATGTAGTGGGATTATGTTCACACAGGATACTTACGACGGATGTAGTGGGATTATGTTCACACAGGTCACTTGAGACGGATGTAGTGGGATTATGTCCACACAGGATACTTACGACGGATGTAGTGGGATTTTGTCCACAAACAGGACCCGTGAGAATTAAATTGCTTTGTTTAGTCCACACAGAGAAACTGACATGGATGTTGCTTTATTTCTATCAGTTAATTGATACATGTTGTCCAGTTTAGTCGTCACAGAGCAGAGGCCACAGATATTGTTGTAATATTTGTGAATGCTAAAGATTTGTTTAAATAGAAAACTCTGGACGCTTTAAACTAAATTTCACCCGTCAAAACAATGATTTTTTGGCCAAAAGACAACTCAGACTGATTTAGTTTCGTAGGCTTGTGGCGTGATAAATGGGAGATCACAAGTCTGGTCATGACAGGCGAGTACCTCGGCAGAAAAAGAGACTGATAAGTAATTTACTCAAACCTTACAATATACTGTATATAAATAATTTTTTATTATTTTTGTTTTTTTTCACAAAATATACCATCGGATCATGAAATATTTAGAGTAGAAGAAAGCCCAATAAGAAGAAAACAAAATATATTGAACATTTTTCCACAACTGGTAATGAATAACAGAGATTCGTCAAGGACGTCACAACAAGAAGAGATGCGTCAAAGGACGTCACAACAAGAAGAGATGCGTCAAGGACGTCACAACAAGAAGAGATTCGTCAAGGACGTCACAACAAGAAGAGATGCGTCAAAGGACGTCACAACAAGAAAAGATGCGTCAAAGGACGTCACAACAAGAAGAGATGCGTCAAAGGACATCACAACAAGAAGAGATGCGTCAAAGGACGTCACAACAAGAAAAGATGCGTCAAGGGACGTCACAACAAGAAGAGATGCGTCAAAGGACGTTACAACAAGAAAAGATGCGTCAAAGGACGTCACAACAAGAAGAGATGCGTCAAAGGACGTCACAACAAGAAAAGATACGTCAAAGGACGTCACAACAAGAAAAGATGCGTCAAAGGACGTCACAACAAGAAGAGATGCGTCAAAGGACGTCACAACAAGAAAAGATGCGTCAAAGGACGTCACAACAAGAAAAGATGCGTCAAAGGACGTCACAACAAGAAAAGATGCGTCAAAGGACGTCACAACAAGAAGAGATGCGTCAAAGGACGTCACAACAAGAAGAGATGCGTCAAAGGACGTCACAACAAGAAAAGATGCGTCAAGGGACGTCACAACAAGAAGAGATGCGTCAAAGGACATCACAACAAGAAGAGATGCGTCAAAGGACGTCACAACAAGAAAAGATGCGTCAAAGGACATCACAACAAGAAGAGATGCGTCAAAGGACGTCACAACAAGAAAAGATGCGTCAAGGGACGTCACAACAAGAAGAGATGCGTCAAAGGACGTCACAACAAGAAGAGATGCGTCAAAGGACGTTACAACAAGAAAAGATGCGTCAAAGGACGTCACAACAAGAAGAGATGCGTCAAAGGCCGTCACAACAAGAAAAGATGCGTCTAAGGACGTCACAACAAGAAAAGATGCGTCTAAGGACGTCACAACAAGAAAAGATGCGTCTAAGGACGTCACAACAAGAAAAGATGCGTCAAAGAACGTCACAACAAGAAAAGATGCGTCAAAGGACGTCACAACAAGAAAAGATGCGTCAAAGGACGTTACAACAAGAAAAGATGCGTCAAAGGACGTCACAACAAGAAAAGATGCGTCAAAGGACGTCACAACAAGAAAAGATGCGTCAAAGGACGTCACAACAAGAAAAGATGCGTCAAAGGACGTCACAACAAGAAAAGATGCGTCAAAGGACGTCACAACAAGAAAATATGCGTCAAAGAACGTCACAACAAGAAAAGATGCGTCAAAGGACGTCACAACATGAAGAGATGCGTCAAAGGACGTCACAACAAGAAAAGATGCGTCAAAGGACGTCACAACAAGAAGAGATGCGTCAAAGGACGTCACAACAAGAAGAGATGCGTCAAAGGACGTCACAACAAGAAAAGATGCGTCAAAGGACGTCACAACAAGAAGAGATGCGTCAAAGGACATCACAACAAGAAGAGATGCGTCAAAGGACGTCACAACAAGAAAAGATGCGTCAAAGGACATCACAACAAGAAGAGATGCGTCAAAGGACGTCACAACAAGAAAAGATGCGTCAAGGGACGTCACAACAAGAAGAGATGCGTCAAAGGACGTCACAACAAGAAGAGATGCGTCAAAGGACGTTACAACAAGAAAAGATGCGTCAAAGGACGTTACAACAAGAAAAGATGCGTCAAAGGACGTCACAACAAGAAGAGATGCGTCAAAGGCCGTCACAACAAGAAAAGATGCGTCTAAGGACGTCACAACAAGAAAAGATGCGTCTAAGGACGTCACAACAAGAAAAGATGCGTCAAAGGACGTCACAACAAGAAAAGATGCGTCTAAGGACGTCACAACAAGAAAAGATGCGTCAAAGGACGTCACAACAAGAAAAGATGCGTCAAAGAACGTCACAACAAGAAAAGATGCGTCAAAGGACGTCACAACAAGAAAAGATGCGTCAAAGAACGTCACAACAAGAAAAGATGCGTCAAAGGACGTCACAACAAGAAAAGATGCGTCAAAGGACGTCACAACGAGAGATTCTGCAAACTATAGACCAGCCTAACTATTGACCATCCTAACTATAGGCAAACCTAACTATAGACCAGCCTAACTATTGACCATCCTAACTATAGGCAAACCTAACTATAGACCAGCCTAACTCTAGACAAGACTACCTTTAAACAGGCTAACTATAAACTAACCTAACTATTGATCGGCCTATCCAATAACCAGCCTACGACTGTACCAGCCTAACTATAGACCTGCCTAACAATAGACCATCCTAGCTATAAACCTGCCTAACTATAGACCATATTAACTATAAACCAGATTAACTATAGATAAACCTAACTATAGGCAATCCTGCAATACAGTATTACCTACTCTAAGCCTCATTACTCTTTACGAAACAAACACTATGTCTCACTGCTGTACAATATGGCTACACTATGCCTCACAACTTTATAGTATGACCACACTATGCCTCACTGCTTTATATAATGGCTAAACTATGCCTCACTGCTGTACAGTAAACTATAGTATGCCTCACTGATGTACAGTAGGCTATAGTATGCCTCACTGCTGTACAGTAGGCTATAGTATGCCTCACTGCTGTACAGTAAACTATAGTATGCCTCACTGATGTACAGTAGGCTATAGTATGCCTCACTGCTGTACAGTAGGCTATAGTATGCCTCACTGCTGTACAGTAAACTATAGTATGCCTCACTGCTGTACAGTAAACTATAGTATGACTCACTGCTGTACAGTAGGCTATAGTATGCCTCACTGCTGTACAGTAGGCTATAGTATGCCTCACTGCTGTACAGTAAACTATAGTATGACTCACTGCTGTACAGTAGGCTATAGTATGCCTCACTGCTGTACAGTAGGCTATAGTATGCCTCACTGCTGTACAGTAGGCTATAGTATGCCTCACTGCTGTACAGTAGGCTATAGTATGCCTCACTGATGTACAATAAACTATAGTATGCCTCACTGCTGTACAGTAAACTATAGTATGCCTCACTGCTATACAGTAGGCTATAGTATACCTCACTGCTATACAGTAGGCTATAGTATACCTCACAGCTGTACAGTAAACTATAGTATGCCTCACTGCTGTACAGTAGGCTATAGTATGCCTCACTGCTGTACAGTAAACAATAGTATGCCTCACTGCTGTACAGTAGGCTATAGTATACCTCACTGCTGTACAGTAGGCTACTGTATGCCTCTATGCAGTACTGTATGCAGTACTGTATGCAGTGAGGCTTTAGTATACCTCACTCTTATTCAGTATGGCTACACTATGCCTCACTGCTGTACAGTATAACTACATTATGCCCCACTGTTGTACAGTATGGCTACACTATGCCTCAGTGCTGTTCAGTATAACTAAACATTGTCTCACTACTGTACAATACAGCTACACTATGCCTCACTGTTTCACTGTCGTACAATATTACGCCATTATCCCTCACTGCTTTACAGGAAGGCAACTTTATGCCACACTACTGTACGGAACAGCTACACTATGCCTCACTGTTGTACTGTATGGCTACACTATGCCTCACTGTTGTACTGTATGGCTGCACTATGCCTCACTGTTGTCCTGTATGGCTACACTATGCCTCACTGTTGTCCTGTATGGCTACACTATGCCTCACTGTTGTACTGTATTGCTACACTATGCCTCACTGTTGTACTGTATTGCTACACTATGCCTCACTGTTGTACTGTATGGCTACACTATGCCTCACTGTTGTACTGTATGGCTACACTATGCCTTACGGCAGTAGAGTACGGTTACATTTTGTCTCATTGATATACAGTAGGCTTAAGTATGCCTCACTGTTGTACAGTGTGGCTACACTGTGCCTCACTGTTGTACAATATGGCTACACTGTGCCTCACTACAGTATAGCTATACATTGGCTCACTACAGTATGGCTACACTATGCCTCACTACAGTATGGCTTCTCTATGCCTCTCTACAGCATAGCTATACTATGCCTCAATATAGAATGGTACACTATGCCTCACTATAGTACGGCTACACTATGCCTCACTACAGTATGGCTACACTACGCCTCACTACAGCATAGCTACACTATGCCTCAATACAGAATGGTACACTATGCCTCAATACAGAATGGTACACTATGCCTCACTACAGTATGGCTACGCTGTCTCAATACCGTATGACTACACTATGCCTCACTACAACATGGCTACACTATGCCTCACTACAGTACGGCTAGACTATGCCTCACTACAGCATGGCTACACTATGCCTCACTGCAGCATGGCTACACTATGCCTCACTACAACATGGCTAGACTATGTCTCACTACTGCATGGCTACACTATGTCTCACTACAGCATGGCTACACTATGTCTCACTACAGCATGGCTACACTATGTCTCACTACAGCATGGCTACACTATGCCTCACTACAACATGGCTAGACTATGTCTCACTACAGCATGGCTACACTATGTCTCACTACAGCATGGCTACACTATGTCTCACTACAGCATGGCTACACTATGTCTCACTACAGCATGGCTACACTATGCCTCACTACAGCATGGCTACACTATGCCTCACTACAGCATGGCTACACTATGCCTCACTACAGCATGGCTACACTATGCCTAACTACAGTACGGCTAGTCTATGCCTCACTACAGCATGGCAACACTATGCCTCACTACAGCATGGTTACACTATGCCTAACTACAGTACGGCTAGTCTATGCCTCACTACAGCATGGCAACACTATGCCTCACTACAGCATGGCTAGAATATGCCTCACTATAGTATGGCTAGACTATGCCTCACTATAGCATAGCTACACTATGCCTCACTACAGCATGGTTAGACTATGCCTCACTATAGTACGGCTAGACTATGCCTCACTACAGCATGGTTACACTATGCCTCACTATAGTACGGCCAGACTATGCCTCACTACAGCATGGTTACACTATGCCTCACTATAGTACGGCTAGACTATGCCTCACTACAGCATGGTTACACTATGCCTCACTATAGTACGGCTAGACTATGCCTCACTACAGCATGGTTACACTATGCCTCACTATAGTACGGCTAGACTATGCCTCACTACAGCATGGCTACACTATGCCTAACTACAGTACGGCTAGTCTATGCCTCACTACAGCATGGCAACACTATGCCTCACTACAGCATGGTTACACTATGCCTAACTACAGTACGGCTAGTCTATGCCTCACTACAGCATGGTTACACTATGCCTCACTATAGTACGGCTAGACTATGCCTCACTATAGTACGGCTAGACTATGCCTCACTACAGCATGGCAACACTATGCCTCACTACAGCATGGTTACACTATGCCTAACTACAGTACGGCTAGTCTATGCCTCACTACAGCATGGCAACACTATGCCTCACTATAGTACGGCTAGACTATGCCTCACTATAGTATGGCTAGACTATGCCTCACTATAGCATAGCTACACTATACCTCACTACAGCATGGTTACACTATGCCTCACTACAGCATGGTTACACTATGCCTCACTACAGTACGGCTAGACTATGCCTCACTACAGCATGGTTACACTATGCCTCACTATAGTACGGCTAGACTATGCCTCACTACAGCATGGTTACACTATGCCTCACTATAGTACGGCTAGACTATGCCTCACTACAGCATGGTTACACTATGCCTCACTCCAGTATGACTGCACTATGCCTCACTATGTACTGGTGTTGACGTTGTAATATTTACTTGAGCGATAAAGTTGCAGAGAGTGACGTGTTTGTCCAGAGACACAACAACCATTGTTTGCCTGGTTGTTTGTTTGTCAAACAAGCATGGTGTGGGATTTTGGGTTTGTTTGTGTACTGGTTTTTTTTTACTCTCCTGGACACTTTTATATCTGTTTTCGAACCACCAATATTTGTATTGACAATTTTTCTCGTTTTTTTTTTTTACAAGGCAACATATATCATGGGGGGAGTGAAGCATGGGAGTGTAGCATGGGATGAAGGGGGAATATACCAGGATTATTGATGAAGAGGATAATTACATAGGAACAAAAATGTGGTTACTAAAACCATGAATTTAAAATTAAATAATTACTGTAATTGTTGATAAAATGCAAAACAAAAAGCTTTTAGTTGAATACAAGGGTCCTATGCTGGGTTGTAAGACCACTCCTCTGTGACCTTGATACAGGTAATAGGTTGTAGCAGGTAGGGGCCTTAAGGCTGACCTTGGACATCAGTTGCGGAACCAAAAATTACCTGCATGTATACCCTCACGTTTAACTTCTAAATGTATACAAGGATGTGATAAAACAGGTCTATGACTACTGCAATCACTGGTAAGGTTCATGATCTAGAATTTAAACTATACACTCTAACCTAGTCCTAGGAATATCTGTGCTGTTGCACACAAGGTATAAATACACAAAGATATATGGAAATATGCATAAAACCATTATATGTAATAAAATAAACTAACTTGAAAAATTAAGATTAATGGATATGGGTATTCTGATTATATGAATATTCACCAATAAAAGAGGTTCATTCACTGAAAAGATTTAGTCAGAACTCACTAGATGATAAGGCATTGCCTCTCTGCCTAACGATTCTCAATTTATATATGCATGTATTAATGTCATAAAGCATTCTAATTGGCCAACCTCTAAAACAATTAATAACTTATCCTTAATTGAGAACTGGAGTCTATCTGACAATTGCCTGATGATGTCTCTCTTGATGAGACCAGACTATATTTTCGATGGGGATTTGGCAGCCTTGATGTTAGTTGTGTCCCTGGTAGCCTTGATGTTGGTTGTGTCCCTGGTAGCCTTGATGTTGGTTGTGTCCCTGGTAGCCTTGATGTTGGTTGTGTCCCTGGTAGCCTTGATGTTGGTTGTGTCCCTGGTAGCCTTGATGTTGGTTGTGTCCCTGGTAGCCTTGATGTTGGTTGTGTCCCTGGAAGCCTTGATGTTGATTGTGTCCCTGGTAGCCTTGATGTTGGTTGTGTCCCTGGTAGCCTT